TGCTAAATTTTTTTAGTGCAAAAGAATTTTAAAACTGATGTGTATTTATATGCATAAAAAGAATGGGGAGATAGAATACGTAAAATATTGATACATATTAGGAAGTTATAGATAAGCTATTAGCTATTGGTATTATATTGTTTCAAAATCTTCCAATTACAGGTTCTGATATGGTCACAAAATCGTCTCACTTGATGTTTTTGGTCTTTTTCTACATTATATTTGGGAATATAAAGGTACTTGAACTTTTTCCCATTTAATAGAAATTAAAGCTTAGTTNTGTTAGCAGTAGTGTTTAATTATTCCTAAGATTTTTTATATGTGGCACCTTTGTTTCCATTCATGCATAAATCTAATAACAATATATACAAATTGGTCATGCAACATATGTACATATATCAACGCTGCTCTACCACATCCACAGTACTACTACAGTGGGGGAGGTTGTACTGTAAATTACAGACGACATGGATTTTGCTTTATTAGTACTCTCATCCCTCAAATAAGGCTTATCAGTAACTAACATGTGAAGAATGTTATCCTATTCTTCTGCACAACATTAAGTTACGTTATCCTTGAACGGGCCAGAATCTTGTAATAACTTCATCACGAGTCCAGTCTGTAAATAATTCATTGACACTAGTTATACACGACATTAACAAACACAAAAATAAACGTATACGTTTTGTGTTTCAAGAGGGGTTATTTATAATTTTGACAGGTAACTAAACTAGCTTATTCAGAACAAGGCTGCACTGTACGGTATGTTTGGTAATTACACTGAGGAATAGAAACTACATTATGCGGGCGAAGGGACGATTTAGAATCAGATTTAAGAAAATGGAAATCTAAAAAGCGAAAACATTATCAAGTTAACTAAAGATGTACGGTAGACTTTTTAGAGTGGATGCTTAAGTAAATCCGAAGAAGAAAAATTAACATCAAGATACACAAAACCCACCTTTGAGGCTACACCCTCGTTACATTTTTCATCTGTCATTCTTAGTAATGCTCAGTGTACATATTGGAGTTCATTCACTCAGAGTTGGTGCTGGTGGAACTTAAACTATTTGAGTAACTCCACCTTATGTGAGTGCATGTACACCAAATTATGTATAAACTCCTGTTAGAATAATAATACAAATAATCTCAATTTAGTCTTAACATTTTGCATCATTATCCTAACCTACATTTTTTCCAAATAGCAAAATGATAGTTTCGCGGCATAGCTTATATTTTTAAAAGTCGAGGGATGCAACTGAATTTGATGATACAAGCACATTTTGTCAAGTCAGTGACTGCTGGACGGGAAGGATACTAGAACCGAATGTGAACATAACTAAACCTAAGGGTGGTTTTGTAATTTCAAAAATCAACTGGCGATTCCAACTTATTATTGAAGAAGGAAGGCAAACAAAACCCAGAGCAATTTCCAAGCATTCAGCACTAATTATCTAAAGCACTATGAGCAGGAGCATGAAACGTAATAAAAAATAACAAGAAAGTTTTGACAATACAAAACATTTTCAGCTGATCTATACCAGAAGAAAAAAGGAAACCTGGTAGTAGCAGGCTTCAAAGTGTAGACTTGGGTAGTATGCTTAAAAAATAAAATAATTGAACAATATTTAATTATTTTTTTTTCAAAATTATACTTTCTGAAAAGGTTCCACTAAGAAAATATAAAGGTTCACTGTACAAACTTGTTATCTGTAGTATTTCTGTAGAACTTATAGAATGTATCCCAGTGCTTAGCCTGAGCAACCAACAGGGAAACAAAGTTGAAACTTAACAGTTGAGAAAATTGAGTGATAGAGCATACGTAACACGTACCACCAAACATGAGTAATTTGTTTTAGAATACCAAGTATGTTGATAATCTGAAAGATACCTTAATTTCGTATCCTCTTAGGATCAAATTCTGGACACAGATGTGCAAGACGGAACTAATTTACATTATTAGCAAGTATATCTGGTCAAAAGCATCCTAAAACATAAGTAGCAATAGGTGGGAACAAAATATATTATTGTTAGTCTAGTCTCTCACCCGATTTACTCAAACTTTAATTTAGCTTGACTTTTATAGTCAGGCCAAGTATAAGAAATTCCTCATAATAAATTTCACCAACGATTCTTGCCATCTGTCCTCAGTCTTAAAAAAGACAAGCTATTCATAAAGTCCAAACCTTACCTTCTTGCGCTCTTGACGAATATTTTTCCTTTTACTTTGCTTCATTCATGTCCATCAAGAATTCATCAAAACTGTATAATTAAAAAATCATTAGCGAAGACAAGAAGATCCTACAATTTCCGGAACTATTCTTCTGTGCATATCGCTATGTGATAGAAATTGTGGCTGACAGGCCGAAATGAGGAGGCAAGGTCTAATTTCTTGTAATAGTCGTCGTTCGTCAAAAAATGAGGGAAAGGGATTATAATAAACCAGATAACACAAATTTTTGGTTGATCACAGCAAACTAACCAATATGCTTCATGCACAGAAGCTAAAAGATATTAGAAGGTACCAGATCATCAAGAAGAATTTTGACGTGTTGCGGAAGGTTCAGGAGACAACAAATTTATTTTATTAAAAAAAAAGAAAGGTTTATGGGCGGCCTTCTGTAACGATGATAAGAAATGTAGCACAAATTTTCATAGCCACCAAAGTATTCACGTTATCACGAGTCAGTTTCAAAATAGAAATAGCTTCAGAGTTCATTTCAACTGGACGTATGGTTTGACAATAGACGGTCCAAACATTTCCAAAACATATGGCATGAAGAGAAATCTAGTCTGCGAATTGTAGCTGCTGAAAAAGAAATAAAGTAAAATCATAAACAGCCCTCAGGGAAAATCAGTGTTTCCCTCCTTTAGTATTATAGGCTCAAAACAGCTAGAGATTCTCATTCAAATGCGCAACAGCGTCTTTGGCCAGTTCAAATTGACATTTATGACCCCTCACTGTATAATACATAAGTTCACTGCTGAAAAATAAGATCTTCATTTCAGGTATAGATAACATCATTTTTTTTTTTTATCTTACGATGAAAAACCAAGCATAAATGATAATATATGTAACTGCAAGCAGCCAGCCTATTGAAATACACATATATGTAAACTGATGTGCATGCACATGGTGGTTGATCAATTACAAATCACATAAGTTTAGATTACTAACCTTCACTGCATATACGGATAAATCTTGGAGATAGAAGATACCACGCAAACTGATAGCTTTCTGACTTTACCTGAATCAGTTGTGCCATCCTGTTACAGATCAAAAGCAGAGATTGGCTGAGCTCAAAAACTCCCAAGAACAAATATATGAAGGATTACCAAGTGAACACCTCAGAACCAAAGTCAGTCAAACTGAAGTAACCAATGGACAGGTCCAGTTTTGTGGGCTCCACCACCTTCCTTGATCCCCAAAATATGGCTTTAACACTGAACCGAACATTGTTCTTGTGGATGCATNGTAAACAAAACTAATAATCTCGTCACACTTAAAATCACAATAAGCACAAGAGTACAGCAGATGCATAGCATCTCCTGCGAAAAACAGATGATAATCTTAAACTAGATATTTAAACAACAACAATAATGATATTATGATAAGTTCATAAATAATGAGTAGTTAACAAGATTTTGATCTCTTGGCAAATCCTTTCTTATTATAATAACTTTTCAGAATCCAAAACTTGGAGTGAAGTCATCATGGTAGAATTATGTACTAGTAAGTAGAACGAAATGATATGGCCTTCATCAAACACTAAGAACTTATCCCAGACATTGACAGTCAACAAACTTATGTCAAAGAGAAAAAACTTTGTATGTTACATGACAACAGACACGTAAAATATTTTGTTAAGGTATAGGGCAGTCAAACCCCAAGAAACTACAAAAAAGGTAAAAGGCAGATAGAGTAAAGGATATCTCATACGATTTTGATTGGAACATGCCAAAAGAACAAAGGTGCATAAAGACCATTTTCAAAGAACTATTGCACTGAAAAGTAAAGATCCACATTAAATTGTCGAGATCCAGTATATCAACGGGAATTGAATCATATAAATACATGAAATTTTATTACATTTTGCCAATGATGTCTGGACTGAGCAACATACAACCCAATGCAACTATAATGTCAGAACCCTCTAAACACTGTCACCCAATGATAATAAAACAATACCGTGTGCAACACATGGATTCAAAAACGGCAGCCCGCAACAATAGATGTCATATGGCAATAATTATTACTCCTATAGCCGTCACAATATGGTGAAATATGGAGTATAGGAAGCAAATATTTACCCATG